AACAGACAAGCAAGCAACAGACAAGCAAGCAAGMAAGCAACAGGCAAGCAAGCAAGCAATTTCCAACAAACCAACCTCCAAGAAATAAAAAAAATAAAGTAACAAAAGAGTTGTAAATAAAACAAAAATAGTTTTTAATTAAACTAAGATACGTTTATTATAATATTTAACTAAAGTTGTCGTTGCGATTACTGAATAAATGGCCCAGAGGTACTATGGGTAATGGAAGTATTTACCAAAAAAGGCAGATCACTGTACTTGATGTATAAGACAATGTGCAGCGACGATAATTTGTACAGAATGCAAAACATTGTAGACCTCGTACTCTTTTGTCCTCTAAAACTGTCTTTTGCTTTTTTAAGTTGAATCAGAAGTACTTCTGGTTCAATTTAGTTCATTTTATTCACGGCTATTACACAGATGATTACAACAACAAAATAGTTTAAAATAAGACATAGTTTCTAGAGTTAAGCAGGTTATTAATTGGTGTACGTGTACGGCAACTAAAGGAAATGATATTGCTTTCGTGTTTTTCTAAGCAAAGGTTGAGGTAGATGCTTCTTGTAGGGCTACGACTCCCATCATGCTTTGCCAAAGGCCCAGTGTGCACCATTATGCTTTGGGGCCTGGAGGCGGCCATTTTCAGTTTACCGAAAGTCTATAACACTGATATACTGTACGTGTCGAATATTTGACCATCTCACTTTTCTAAGCAATTTAAACGCTAATGTTAGAGTTTTCAACCATCTGACATTCATTTTATGGTGATATCTGGATACTAGAAGTATTTTGGTGCAAATCATAACTTACAGAGGCACACAAAGCATAATGGTGCAAACTGGGCCTTTAAACAAAATGGCGTCTTCAATGATAGTTTGTCATTGAGTTTGTAAAGTGTCTTTCAGCGTCGAATTTCGCCATCAAAAAGTGGGATAGCCACAGTATCTTTAAATATATATATATATTGTAATATATAAAAGAGTCGCAAAAATTCAAATAAATGTATTCAATTTACGCAGATTGGCTAGCGTCTTATTAAGGACTTGTTAAGATATGATCGGTGAGGGCTCAAACTTCAGCAAAAATCTGAAAAGTCGTTATATATTATATCATTGTAGGAAGCTCAATGTCAAGCCATATATCGGAGATATCATCGTTGTTAGGTCGACGTCATATCGGATATCATCGGTGTTAGCTCGAAGCCATGTCGGTAATCATCGGTGTTAGGTCGACGTCATATCGGTATTTCAGTAGCAGAAGTGATCTAAGTTCAAACAATTCTCAAAAACAAAGTGAACGTCGTCTTCAATAACAATGTAACAAATGCAGACGTACACGTTTCCTGTTTTTTTTTTCCTAGCGCTTTTGTTTTCATTTCAGAATGTTATGAGATACAACAAGCCGTACATGACCTGCCCTGATCGATTAATAATTTAAAAACCAGTCGCATTCAATAAATCTCTTAGTATAACAACTGATTTACTGCTGTCGACAAATGACAATCATAACATCACGCAGTACACATGATAATATCTCTCAGAGCAGGTCAGTCAAGCTGTCCACTTTAGGAAAATCATCACCGTTCTCTGAAGTCAAAGTGAGCGTATTAGCCTGATCAATAACCAATCAACAGTGTTTCCCTGAGAGCGGATTATTGCCAATGCGCTTACCACAATCAACAAGTAATTTAAACGTGAAATTGACTCTGGAGGACCAACATTACAGTATTGCGACTTGATTGGAAGTAGTAATATAGGTACGTATTAAACCACTGCTGTGCTGAGCATACACAATCGAACCACACACGGCACACGCTTATCAACGAATACAGGCTCATATTAGCAGGTACTAGCTAGAATACATTTTGCCCATTTTAATGCAGATGATTCTATGTATGGATTTTATGGGTAGCCTGATTTTCAGACGGGGCCTGGGTCCTACGCTTCTCTGCCCCGTCTGAAAATCAGGCTATTTTATGGGTGGATATCATTAATTTATATCCAGAATTTTGATTGGCTACTGAGCTATGTTCCATTCATGATAGACCATGGATGCATTGAATAACTCAAAAATAGTCGAAAAAATGCCAAGAAAGATTCTTCTTTATGTTTTCTTCCAACAGAGTTTGGATGGTGGGGCTAAACGATTACTATTCGGTCTAGTGAGCCACGAGTTGATAGTCTATTCGGCCGAGTACTTCCACTCGACCTCGTGGTTTAAATRTTAAATCTCTCTTAAAATCTGTTTTATACAAGCTATAAAACATAAATATTACATGGTTAGTTTTGAGCAATGAACAATTCATGCAAATCAAGTAAATTAGCTRCCTAGAAAGAAATAAGGTGTAAGATTAATATGAAATGCAATTAAATTACARACAATGATTTACAACTAGACGTATCAACAGATGTACAGTAGATACGATACTGTACACATGGCAGAAGTAGTTTTAAATATAGAACTATCTTAGAGAAAATGGTGGGAACTAGCGGTAAAACTAGTGTGAGCTGCGTCGGTGTTTCTAAAGAAACAGTTATGTAAAAAGATAAATTTAACACCGTAAAAAAGTAGGTGAAATAGCTTACTGACGTTTCGGACGTTAATCTTTCGTTGGAGTAAAGAGATGGAACTAGGAAAAGTGTGAGTTTATATAATGAGAGTAGCAAAGAAAGTAGACCTATAGGAAATGAAATGCGAAAATCCGGTTTATTCACTTATTGGGCACTTATAATCCCCATGGGTTTAATGAACGCTTTGTTTCAGATAATTATTTTTATATCTTTTATTCACTTTTTAGCACCTTTATTGTTCTTTTGTCTAACACTTCTCTTGCTTTTCTTGTTTATTTCACGTTACCATGCCTACCTTGCTCCTATTGGTCTATTTTCCTTCCTACTCTTATCATATAAACTCACTGCACTATACCTATTTCTCTCTCTTTACTCCGACGATGGATTAACGTCCGAAACGTCAGTAAGTTATTTCACATACTTTTTATGGTGTTAAATTTATCTTTTTACATAACAGTGTATGTAAGAGAAAATAAACATACAAATTGACTGTCTTCTGACATTTGCATTAATTGTACTAATAGCACGGTCTGTTGGGATGGATATTGGTAACGAACTTGGCTGCGTGCCCAAAAMACCATGTACAGGGAATCTCAACCAACCCGGCATATCAATGCATCCCACAGAAAACAATCATGTGCTTGTTTCTGAAAAGCACACAGCACTACAAGAATCTAGCRATAGTACAATGGCCGCCGAGAGAGAGMAAACTGCACTTTTGGGTGAACAGAATTCACCATCTATTGTCTCAGCCACAAAAGACGAAGAGCAAAATTCAAATTTGGCAGAAAACGACTTTGAATGTCGAATTTGCCGTAGTCGCGATGATGAACCGCTGATAAGTCCCTGTAAATGCTCTGGATCTTCAAAATGGATTCACCAAAGCTGTTTGGTACAGTGGTTCCAGATTTCAAGAGCTACAAAATGTGAATTATGCTCTGAGAAAATTATAATTAAGAAATTTGTGAAGCCGGTACGAGAGGTAAGCGCATGTATTTTTTTGCACGGAGAAGAGAACATTTTATTACGTTACCTGGAAGTTWTACTTTTATACACGTCAAATAATCACTAAAGTACATATATATGCATTGAAATTATTGGAGTTAAGATACTAGAATTGTTTCCAAATATGCAAAACAAATTATCCCTGAATACAAAATGTTTTGTATGTTATGTTTTAATCATATCAGTGAATGAAAATTTTACCTAAAAATTGGAAACTTTAGTTGCGCGTGAGGAAACAAAAACGGGAATACAAAGATGCAGTTTCAAAATGCTCTGCCCTGAGAGAACATGAAAATATGCTTTACTTTTGTTTAAAATTAGAAGCTTTATGTAAGTGTAATACTTGAAATATGCAAAAACAGTAAGAAAATCTGTGAAATACTAGCGTTTTAACYCGAATGAATTGGACAGTTTTAGAGAAMAYGAACGCGGTGTCAAGGCATCGATGGTAAAAAACATCTACATTTAAGACAGCAAATTATTCGTGTATAATTTTACAATTCAGAATTAGCGGGTGACCATTAAAAATACTGCATATTTGACATTAAATAAACACTTGACAAGAAGTCCTCTTTATAAGGCAATAAAAAGACTTTTTCGCTGCCAAATCGGCACTTTTTATAGGATGATTATCAATGTATAGTTCACAAGTAATTTCAGAGATGGTTTTATGCTAGCACGGTTGAGTATTAATAGTATAAACTCAGCTTCCGAAAACGTTATAAATGATTTAATTTGCGTCTGCTGAAATGTTTACCTTATTATAATATAGGGGCCTTTCTAACCCTATCGCGTTTTTTTAATATTTTTTTTAAGAATTTAAGATTTGAGGTATAACAGTACAACTCGAGCATTTTGTCCGCTGTAGGAAAATAWGAGTTATAGCTGTGAGCTGTTAACTTTTCAATGCGTCATCGTGATCATAATCRTCATCATTTTGTTGGAGCTATTGAATGAAATTCTTGAACAAGAGCTTTATTGAGATAATAACATTATGCTGCATTTGACAAGAGACTAGGCGAAACAAGGACAAAATGGCGTTAATTACTTCGGCAGTCGATAATTGAATTCTTTTAGGTAAATATATGTCATAAAACTARTTTCGACAGAAGATTAACTTTTGACAGTGTTTAACAACCATGAAGCAGTTTATTTCTTTTCTTCGGTCAATTAAACAATAAGATGAAAAACCTCAAATAGAATTAAAAGAAAACTTCATTGCTATGGCATCTGGCCCAAGAAAGTCTATGGCCAGGGCGTTAGTTGCTTTTCCTTGCTTAGTGTCACGCGTGCCGTTTGCTGACCAAGTATTTAAAACGTTTTTTGAAGTTATTTGGACATTTTTCACTGTGAAAGTGGCAGCAGACTTTGGTTTTACGGCTGAATGTCATTCTAAGCCTCTCCATTAACAATCCGTCTGCTMAAACCATTTTAACAGGTTGATGTAAAGGTCTGTTTAAAATAACCAATATAGGACTATCACTAATGGACAAATCAGRCAATCTAAACCGCATACTATGTTACCAACCTGACCTTTCTAAGCAAAGACAGCAAACCACTTACAGAAACTAGAAATTTGCAATTATTTTATATCTGTAAAAAGCAAAATGCTTCAAAACTCAAGACAGTATCTTCAAAATGTCCCATTTACTTTGAAAAAATAAAATCATTTTTTATTTGATTGAAAAATTGACCACGTAGGTCGCGCGCGCCGGCAACACCAACGATATATCAAGATTTCAACATGGCAGATGATTTACGACATGGCTGAATTTTCTTTACCTAGAATGTTTGCATTTACAAAACACGCGTTGATATATTTTGAGCTTGAAGAAGGAAAAATTGTTAAAAAGTCATTGATAATACGTATAATCTTCTTTAGAAAAAACAATTCACCAGGAAGAGACTTAATAGTACATGARTTTGGCCATCTTGCTCGTGATTAATTCTAGTCATTATAATGATGGAATGTGTTGCCTAAGCGACGAGTGAAAAAACTGATGCTCTTTCTGGTACAGATTTATCAAAATACAACCAATGCAGATAAAAACAACATATGGGCGGCCACACGACAACAGGCGATTTTTCTACTTGCATTTAGTAGTTTCTACGCACTCGCAAGTTTAAGCCAGTACAAAATATCGCTAAATATGTGCCTTCTTGTGTCTTTTATGAAGGCTGGATACAATAATTAAGGTGAAATAGTTCAATATACAATAGAAAACAATAGAATTAGCGAAAACTATGGTTTATCAGTCTGATAACATGCTTATGTTTGACTTAATGTAAGACTTGTTGTCTTCAGTTTCATATTGCTGCGCTCTACCGTCAAAGTAAACTGTTATGTCTAATATTTGATATTACAATCTTTCTATTAGCTTTCAATGCTTTTACCTAGTTTTCCGATGAGGCGAAAAAGCAAGAACAAAGACASMTTTTCAACAAAAAAGGCATTCAAACTAGCGTGTTCTTTTGTTATTCATAGTGGGATGTACCAGCATGCCCTCCGGTCAAAACGTGGTTTGAACGAACGCAAAAATGTCYATGAAAATTACAACATCTTAGTAAACAAAATAGTTAAAATATCAATGACTTTATTCTTAGATGATATAAAAATAGTTTTCAGAACAGTATCTTATCTCCAACATTTCTGTATGTTTTTTTTTCATTTCTCAATGCCAAATGTGCAGTCCATGGCAACAAAAAATGGTGTTGCTGTTGGCCGTTTCACTCCACAAGTTGAATACAATATCATTTTATATGTCGCTAAAAACAGGACACTTTATTGGTCCTGAATTGTAGCTGAGTTTCAGCTTTCCCGTAGGGATATCCACTCTTAATTAATTTCGGCTTTTTGTCTCGGGAAACAAACGCTAGATTCCTMTAGTGAAGTCATGCGATGTTCGACGCGCGGGATGCACTATGGGATAAATGTACGCACTAAAGCCGTGCATGTCAGTAATGTTGCTGTGTTTCGGCGGGCTGTTTTGTGAATAACAAGCATTACTTTTTGCTAAAACAGGTCTTTGACGATATTGCAGTATGTAGGCATCTTATTTAATGTTCATTAAAGCATTATTGGCGACGGGTATTGACGTTAATTTCGCATTTTGAATCATTTTGTCCTTATAATTTCGACATCCGCCATCTTGATATGTTTATCAATACCATGGTGCAATTCGCGAACAGCAAAAATCATCTTATTACTGGAGAGTTCCCCATTGTATTAATACCGTCAAAGTTATGCGGAATTCCAAAAACATTTCTTATCAGAGGTTAATTTTTGGTTTATTGTCAACAGTGGAAGCGACCCAACAGTAGATTTGGCTCGTGTTCAAAGGTCGATCTTTGGTATGCCTTTGTAACTCTATTCAGCGTCGGTACCATCATTGGGTTTGCTGTGTTCCACAGCTACGTGGGCCCAGAGGAAGGAATGGAAACTACAGTGGTATTTATCGCTATTTACGTGCTATGTTCTTTGATGATAGCCGTACGAGTTCGGTATTTTTATCATTGGTGTACAAGAAGGAATCCATTTTGGGACGAGTGGAGAGTTTTAAATCAAGAATGGGATATTCAACAAGATGGCGCCCGTCCACCTGAGACTAAATACCCAATGAACGAGTCAGTTGTTTAACGATACGTTTCATTTGTACGTAGGTAGTGTAACGTTTACGTTTATAATTTAATTAGCGTTGTTAGTTAGCCGGATGTTTTTAATATCTAATTGAGCAAAGCAAACCATTGTTTGTACGAAATATTACGTTCACACACAACACTTTACGTAAGTGTGGACGTTTTTACATTTTTCTAAGCTCTATAGTAGCCTTGCGTTTTACGTAGTACACGCATTTACGTCAACTTCTTGCGCCAGAGGAGACGCTTCATTCATAAAAAGACTTATAATATATAAAACGTTTACGTAAGTTGTTTTAGATTGTCCAAATTGACTTTAATATAAGGACATTAGTTAGGCATTTATATAATGTATGAGTAAATGTAGAAAAACGTATCGTCTTACGTGGCATGCGTTTTCTTCACGTACCTTTCAAGTTAACCTTGCGTTTATATAGTAACATTTCACGTTYTTATTTGTCTAAATTAGAAAAAGCGATATGAAATGTTCACAATTTGAAAATTAGGAATCTTAAGATAACGACTGGGGAGACTGACCGGTTGGGGTCGGGAAAGCCTATAGACTCCTCCACAGCCAGCACTTTAATTGCTCTGGTACCATCTTGGCAACAGTCTCCCTTGGTATATGAGTGAGACAGGAAGCCCAAGAGTGCATTGAATACTGCTTAGTTTCAGTGTAGTCAGTAGATTGTCCTTGTTTTTTAAGATTCCTAATATTTTGCTTTTCAGTTTATATTAAATTTTTTGATATTCATATATTCACTTTTGAATYGTTGCATTCTCATATCATTAGCATATGACACAGGAAACCCACACAATTTCAAGTACGATATCACATCAATTTAACAACTTTTCGCCATTTAAAGTAAACACAGTTTAAAAAGAAACTAGAAAAAATGACAGTAAAAAAAGTACATTTTTTAAAGTGATATCAAAAAAGCAAACAAATATACCATAAAAATATAGAACTTAAAAATAAATTAAATATAAATAGGTTATGTAATTTTAATGATCATTTYTAAATAATAATTTGAAAAATTAATAAAGTGATTGATTATTTGACGTTGGTTTTATCAATTCCCAACCCCTTCCCTACACGGGGATGCGCTAGTAAATCAATTCTTCAAGTACTTGAGCGAAAGAGATTTGAGGTCAAGAAACCACTTTACGCGTTTTCATTTCAATTCAATTTATTATCGCTTGATGACCATCCAAGTATTTTATAATAAGTTTGTTTACAATATATTTACAATAATACCACTAAAACCAACTAGGCATTATCAGTAGAGAAYGATTATTACCTAATCTTTAAAGAAAAAAAGGCCAACTATGTGCAGCGACATAATCATGTTAAATATATATTCTCTTAAAAGACCTACACGTATCCGAGATTCTTTGCAATCTTTGCTTTTAGAATCGCTAATTGTTGAGAGTTGGTTTCTGGTTGGTTAAAAATCAAACATGGCGAAGTTTTTGAGAACACGTTTGAAGTTTCTTTAACAAAATGTTGTACAAAATGCCGTCGCTGCATAGTAGGCAATAAAAAAAGTTCTTTTCTTTGCGGATTCGATTTTTCTCCATAATTCGATAAACAAGCCGAGCATGTATTGTGTATACTTGAATCTGGATTTGTGTTAACGGATAAAACCGCATAGAAAGAATTATTATTTCAATAAGCATATTTTGAAAGTGACAACGTTTCTTTAATTTCTGTACATGCATATTTATAACTTATTTTACCACACCCCTCCCCTGTAAGTCAGAAAGTTGAACATCAGTCTGGCGAAAGAGTTTCTCACAATTAAAAAAAACGCAACTTACAAAAAGCATTATCAAAAACATTGCACATTAATATAAAAATGTAAAATCAAACACAAACTAACGTGTTACGGACTTGTATTCTGTCGCTTGGGATTCCTGTGTTATAGTAAGGATTGACAAGCCTGTCACGTGTTTCCATCAGGCTTGCGCATGCGTTATATGGACATAAATCGTCTTTGTTTGGGGATTAGCTTCTGAAAGAAACATGTCGCGGTTAATAATAAATCAAACCAAGAAAGAAACTGGAATTGTAATAAAACAGAATACAACACAAAGAAAAGTTTAACAAAATATAAAATAACATAATAACAATAAAAAAAAGTAAAGCCGTGAGAATACGTACGAGGCTGGTTGCGTTACATGAACTACGTACGTCGGGTTTACGTAAGGTTTGTTCTCTTGTATGTTTACGTTACATCGTATCCAGCGGTTGTATACTAAGCTGTATGCGCACTAAATCGTGTGGTCACTTAACTATTGGTTGAATAACAAGAGAATGAAGATGAAGCACGAGGAAACAATCGGATGATTCTTGTATTTGCACTGAGCCTTGTGTTCAGTTAGTTTTGTGCATTAATTTAGTTTATAAAATAGCATATTGATGTCCTAAACCAAATTCTCCCTACCCCCCCTCCCCTCCAACAAAACTTTTCCCTGAATCCATTGAACATAGTTAACTATGCACTGAATGAATAACTGAAGAGAAAGTAAAGCTTCTGACAGCATAAAACTTTCAAGGCTTGACGGCGATGTTGGCCCAGTTGTGATCAGGGTTTTTTATAGTATATGGATTAATGTGCTCAATAATACTAATAGATATAACCCCACCCCTCCTCAAAGAAAGCCATCAAGAGTCACGTGACTTAATCATAATAGAAAAAAAAATCAATCATGACGACAAATGGGAAAAAAGAGCCCAAGCCGAGAAAATCATATGCAAATCGGTTGATGATTTCTAGAGGACCAAACAAGGCCACCGCTGACCGGTCATGACAGTCTGCACAGCCACATCGGTCGTCTGAAAGCCAAACACAAAGAACTGGTCAGCGGTCCTGGCACAGATTATCAAAGCGAGGCTAATTCAAWCGAGGCCACAAGCCTACAKCTTGAGATTTTTAACAAACCATTCACATTACAGAAAACTMRACTGTGTAAATTGAATGGGATGACCTTAATGGTTTTTTGATTGSTTGATTTTRCCCACGTGACCTCTATTGAAACAGTCTCGCTGAAAAACGTCATTATCGTCGTTTAGTTAGATTCACGAAACTCCTTCAACTATTCTATTGAAAGAAAGTCTCTGTCTGAGATCCCAAATAAGGTAGTTTWATTCCAAATTAGGAAATTTCCAATGTATATAAATAAGCCAATCGAGAAAAGCGGACGGTTTGTGATTTTTAATGTACAACTTCGTATTGCTTTACGTCTTGTCTTCGTCTTAACATTTGTATTTTACATGCATTATATACACAGGCATGCAATATATGTACAAGATACACCGAAACAGATGTTATAGGATGTTTTCAGAAGGGAAATATCAGGAAAAATCACACCAGGCGACCACTTCATCATCTTGTTAAACCTGTAACTCTGCACAAGTTCAACTTGCGAAATATTATACACAGAAGGAACACTACATACGTCTTGGTCATATTTAATACTATTTATAGAGAGAACGAGTTGTTATCCAAAATTCAGAACTCTTGTTTTAAATTTGTATCACAACATTCAATATTTACAAAAAGGGCAGTTAAGTACAAATAACAATAAAAAGCAGCATAGAACGAGATAACTTTCTAGAAGTCTCAGAAGACTGGCCATACAAATTCACCTACTTTRTCCAGAGGGGAATTGCAGTTCGGGCTCTTGCGCATGAGCACTAGTGCTTGATAGGCRAGTTTCTTCAGGTCGGCGCTCGTGAAGCCACATGGGTATTTGGATTTCCTCAGCCAACTGTCGGCTTTTCTTGCAATTAGAAACCATTCGTTTTGATATTCACTGTGCTGTCGGCAAAGCCATGCAAGAGCCAAAGCGGTGGCCCATAACTGGGTTCTTATCAAACAAAATTGAGGTAATTAGAATAGGCAAAGTGCATCGACGCCATTTTGTACAAGAAAGCATGATGGGAATGCAGTCGTCGAACTTCTTTCTGTACGTTAAAATAATTCCTAGAAGCTGCTTTTGTGTGAGCAGTTTTTAAAACACAAATGGAACAAAGTTGGCAAAGAAAAAGAAATCGACCGTGGGGACTACAGTCATTGAAAGGACTACATGCGCCATAATGCCTTGTTGTACAAAATGACGGTCGTTGTACATCCAAACACTCCGGGGGGTCTTTATCCTTGAGATATTGAGATAATCGGCAGTGCTATCAGTTCACCTATAAATATCGTTTCTCACGCTGAGAAACAAAGAATCAAAGAGGGATAAACAAACAAACAGATTGATACAAAAAAGAACAAACAAACAAAAAACGACTGATTCAGTTTTGAGGTTTCGCCCCGTCAGACATCCATATAATCTCAAACTAATTTAAGATTGAAACTGTATTAATACCATGGTGTTTGCCAACATAACGTACCCATATTCACACCTATAACGCTCCATAATCTCATCAAGCTCTTCGGAGAAAGATTCACACASGGAACTATCAGCTAAYGGAGAMGCTTGCTGTAGGTTATACAAAGGAAGCCCGATACATTCAGCAAAATTCTCATTCAATTCCCAGTATCCGCTCTTTGATTGGAGCTTGGCCAAGTASACGTACGGCATGTATTCCTTTGGTGGAGTTATGAGAACAGGAGACAGTCGTCTTGAATACGGTACGCTAACAAGGTTTGGCGTTTGGCTGCGTTTTTCCCCAACAACGTAGCGAGTCGATAGAGGAGGCACTTGACGACCAGCTGTAAAAAACAAACACTTTTAGAACARATTGAGTACGTATAGGGCTATACACGACCTCTGTACTTCCGCGTGTCGGCACCGGAATCACGTGAAAAATTTTACATACCATAATTGGTCTTATGACGCGGTGAATTGGCTCCACTCTTCGCAGGACTGCTATCAGCAGAGCTATCAATAGTTGGWGAGCGATCTAGTCGATAAAGATCGGTTGGCTCTTCCCCATCCCTTGTCGAGTGTTCTGTGAACTCTTCWATCGATTCCTGGTCGCTTCCTTCRGGGGTGGGCAGGCGTCGACCCAAACCGGTCGTAAAGCCACCCTTACGGTCCAAAGTTAAGACTTTCCTCTGACTGGAATAAAATGATAACACTTTAATGATGGCAATTGGATGTGGCAATTGGATGCTAAAAGGATAGCGATTGTGATGCCGAAGGACGCCATCCGACGAGAAAATCTTGATCAGCGGTCACCATTGGATGACCCAACAACGCAACGACGACGGGCTTTAAAGACTGGTAAACACTGGAAAAATCGCGCGCTTTAAAGGTTGTAAATGTGATGTGAATATGATGTAACTGTCCAAAATTCTGTAAATGTAATGGAAATCATTTACATCAAATTAAAAGAATTTTGGACACTTGCATCATATATACATCAAATTTACAACCTTTAAAGCGCGCGATTTTTTCCAGTGAAACAACTAAGAACTGGACATCAGTTCACAAAAAAAGGAATTTCATTATGAAAGATCTCTTACTTTTCTGCAATGGGATCCTCTTTGCTTGCAAGCTGAAGAGCACTTAGAATCTCATCTTCATAGCAATATTGGTCAACGCTTGTAAACGCTGTGAGCCTGCAGTGTATCTTACTTTGCTTTGCGATCATACATATTCTGCGCAGGCTYTCTTCGGTCATGTCCTCCGATATCGTGAAGTCCCGGATAATCGAGCGCGCAAGTAACTGGTGGATTGTGGGTCGTTTTGTAGTGCCTTGACTACGGCTTATGGGATATGGAATCACCTGAAATAAATAGTAGTATATCTTACGTATATCTTATCATGATGGTTTAAAAGATGGYCTTTTCACAGTGTCTTTTCACAGTATACTTGTCGCACACTTCCCGAATGAATCTTCATTRAAGAATCAATCGCTCCGGTCATAAAAATCTACATGTACATTTTTTATTAGCTTTGCCCCTAGTATGGGCAGGGACACCGCAAAAGCTTGAGCCATTTACTGCGGACCCTGTACTCTCACACTCACTACCTCTACATTAAGTATTTTAGCACACAACACTCCTCACATGTTGATTTTTACTGAGGGAGGAAAACTGGAGGAGCCGCAGAAAAACCATTCTTACCTGTTCAATCTCTTCATCTCCAAAATATCCTTTAATCCCTACTGCTGCAAAATCCTTGGGAACTCCAATAGTTCCAAGTACCTCACTATTTTTAAAGATATGGATCTTACTAGTATCAAAAACGCTGAATTCTGGGCTCGATGATGTTGAATTTTGTGGTGCCTTTGTTCCAGGTTTAAGAACATTTTCATCATGCTCTACGTCATCTATAGAAAACCCTAAGCCGCTATCCCTCTCTGATGTCTGCTGGGAAGAACTTTCGTCCTTCGTAAATTTCCGGGAAGTGTTCGTATTTAGATCGGATTTTCCGRCAGTACTCGTATTCTGATCGGACTTACTCAATTTTTTTTCTAAAGCAAACCTATGTCTTTTTAGGTGTGGCGGTGGTGTCGTACTGACTGGTTTGCCGTCTTTTGTGCAATCYACCRTTCCAAAATTTTCGCATGATCTGAAGAAATTCCCAAACGCTATATCTCGAGCCACATCGATKTCGACAGATGTGCRGCTCGARGGAGGAATCGGTAGATAGGTTGCATCAGTCCATGTGTTAGCACGCTTTCGAATTTCTTTTTCTGCGATTTCGCGTTTGTCGTCGTCTTTTGATGTTGTCTTGATCCTTAAATTTCTTGCCTCCGATACATGAAAATCCTGATCGACTTTTCCAGCAGCCCTGTCCTCTTCCTGTGTACGTATTTCATGCTCATTGACATCTTCAAATACACTTCCCTCGCTTTCCATGCTTTCTTTCTCGTCGAGCTCAAGAAGAAGTTGCTCTTCGGGAAGGTATTCCATGTCGTCATCAAACCAAAACACCTTTACTGAGTTGTTSGAGAAAGATCTCATCAAGGTGTCCATGCGCTTCCGTTGTGGGGTCCTTTGGGATTCTTTTTCGACGTCAGCAGGTCGGGACAATATCCCATAAAGCACCACTCTTTCCCCGTCRAAAATGAAATGAACTTTGCTRGGAGACGGGATGACGTCATATCCTTCAGGGAGATGCCAGCTGACCTCTATATCTGTAATTGCTRGCTTAAGTGTTCCATCTAAAGCTTCCATGACCTGAAATGCGAGTAAAGAGAATTACATGCATAAGGAAGCATAGAGTTTTGATAATGTGGATGAATGGATAGCGGAATGGAGGGATGGATGGAGAATGGGATAGGRGGGAACAATGGATGAATAGGTGATGATATGGTTGGATCGACTGCGCATCCCTGGAGTTACCCGACATTACCTTGGGGGGAAGTCTCTCATCTTCAGTGATGAACCATGACCTTCCTTCGCTTGGTCCAGCTACTCCTTGAACAAGATGTGGACATGCCTCAGGGCCAATACCAAACGTGAAAAACCTATGATGACCAGGTAAAAATTGTTAACCTGACAATCAAGCAAAACCAGTTCAACTGGTAAAAGCCTGTTTCAMAATCAGGTAAAACTAGTTATCATTAAGTAAAAATCGAAGTACRTCGATTTCAAGTGGAAAAGTCTCATGAAGATGTCCCGAATAGATAGTAACTTTATCATCATTCGATTCAATAATAATGTGATAATTTAATTTTTTTACATTTTAATTATCACCAAGAAAAGAATGATTTAATCTAGCAAAAAGAGTCGTGGATTTGAGTACTTCTACTTAAGTTTTGGACACTTAAGACGTTTCAATGTCAACTTGGCTGGTCGAGCAGACAAAGAGAAATGCGCAAACACTTTAATGCTTTTACAGGGAGGTTTGCCAAAGAGATTTTAGCTAAAAGAAAAAACAAACAGAAAAMTACACATCAACGCATATAATTTCGAATTGTTAGTCGATATTTAGCAGTATCATTKTGAAGAGGTRCTYTTAATGCGATTTGCAACGCGTACATTAAGGAAATTAATTCTTTAATCCCAAGGAATTATTGGTATATCTTTCCGTGACCACAATATGTGCGCTCACGGGAGCGTTATAGATATGATTTAATTYAATGAACGGCGAAGGATTTGTCTGGTTCGGATTTTATGCAAGGAGTCGAAGAAGAAAACCGAATTCCAGTTAATGACATAAACAAATTTCAATCAAAATGTCAAACGCTTTCAGATTTAGAAAAGCAAAACAAAACACATTTATTCAAATTTATATAAACTTGCCGGAAAATCTAGTTTATAAGTCAATACTTTCAGTAARTTAATTCAAAATTGCTTTTACTATTCAAGTTTATTCCACAAAYACTAAATAAAATAGTAGCTCGAAATAAATATATAAATGTATTTAGGCTTTATATCGCGATATTGTCCACAATACATATCGATAACGCGCGTATTTCAATTCAGTCCAACTGCGCGTAATTCATTCTCATAAAAACCCCATTTTAACTCAAAAAWMCATCTCTATCSACGAAAAAACAATGCCTACAAATTATAAGCAATAGCGATTCTCAGTCGGGGTAATTGASACACTGAATTTCACAATCAAAGAGATTTTCTTGAATATTGAGACAGGATACAATGGACGTATCAGCACCTGCCATTCGATGTCTTCCTCYGTTCRTTGTCAATAGACACAAAAACAGCACACTGTTTACTCAAATAAACTCGTATTTTTCATAACTTAGAATACGTTCTGTATATTAAATAGTCTAGCGTGCCTTATTATACTTTATATCACAAACAKTTGCGCGCTTTCCATGCGTTTTTTCCGTGTAAAGAGTCCGTTTCCATATTTTTCCTTTCAAATACATCAATATCTCTGAGAAATGTATTACACGCCGTTCTCTTTATCATTTAGTATTATTTTCAATTTACTAGTTTTTCATTATGTTTGCTTAATGTATTATTTCGACATAAAACTTACTATATCAATTACTTTTAAAATCAAAATGTCAGCAAGAGTTTGGTTCAACTTGGTTTTAATATAACCGAGAGTTTATATTYTAAGTTCCCTGTAATTGTTCGTAAGAGACGGGGGTTTTTCGGTTTCGAATTTCACTTACCGGCATGTGTGGGAATGTTTTCGTACTAAATCCACAACGTCTAAAGTGTTAGAAACTCCACCATCGGTTAAMAGGAAAATAATCCTTGGTCTCCCTCGTTTGCATGGCTGATCAAAGACGAACTCTAACGGTAGAATTAAATTCGTTCCGCCGAGGTCTGCTCTCATCTTGTGCACATAATTCATCGCTTTGTTCAGATTTTCATCATTATATTCCTTGCTTTCTTGAAAAAGACATCTATAATATGACCCAAAACCCACAATATTAAAGAAACAATTTGAAGGTAAACTTTTAAGGAATAAYAGCAGTGTTTCTCTGACTTGGAAAATATGCTTTCCACTCATGCTCCCGCTACGATCGACAAGGAAAATGAATTCAGAGCATGGATTTTTACAGTCTTTCAGCTGTGGAGAAAAGTTTACCATAATGGCTGGCTGTTCAGTGATATTTTCTAACATCTCTTCATGAAGAGGTATRTTTCTTGGACGACTTTCATTCTCCTCGGAAGGGATGAGAATTTTTTTCCCTTCCTCGATCAAGACATAAGGATCGAATGGATGCGACAGATGCAACAATACTTCGAGTTCCCTGTCGTAYGTATGAGGCTCTGCTATAGTTATATGAATACGAGAAGCATTTACAGCTCTGGARTCTGCGTCTACTTGGATAGCGTGTGTTCTCGATGAACATCCGGCGAGCAAGCATGGCGCAACAACTTCGAGTTGAAGATCAAAGCTATACAGCTCATGTGTTTTTCGTGGCAAGTCACTTATCAGTATTTGCGAGCCGTATAAAGAGTTATTTTGAGTTTCGTTTTCATTCTCGTCGTACAATCTTGGAGTAAACACTGACGGTAGAACGAACAGTGAACCACCACTTTTTTGATCAGAGACCAATTCTGTAATCAATCCCACCTGGACAAACACCGAGGCGAGTGGAGGAATTCTACCTACACTCAAGGAAAACAGCTCGTCTTCCCTCTCCTCGATAGCATAGGCGCTTTTTGATGTAGCAATTGAACTCTTCTCGCGAATTTCAGTCGAAACGTGTCGCTCTTCTATCGTTGCCTCGAATTCTACAATCGTTGTTCTTTCATCTTGWGGAAAAACGAAGAGTCCTTCGATATCATATTCACAATCGTTGTAGTAAGTCAGTGTTGCTAGGAGCCGTGCTGCAAAACCATTTACTTCAGCAAATACACTAGATGCCTTTAGTGGTAGAGTATGGCTCGTATGACGATTAACAAGTCCTGCCATTCTTATAAAATGACGATAAATATGATTAAATTCAACTTCAAAAATCTAAACTCAAATATTCGCAACGGAAGTTCTTCTCAACTCTTGAATGTGAGATTTTGAAACAGTTTTGTAGCAAGTAGATAAATTCCTCTGAAGAAAACGGCCGAGAAAATTCGAGTTATTTGCCTTGTGAAGAAATTTTTCAACGTTTCGCGAATATCACATCACCGAGCACATATCCGCTTTTAACTGCCTTGCAATTACGCCAGAGTCATTTAAAGAAAAATASATTTAAATTTATTCAAAAATTCGTCACCGCAAGTATCTCAATTCAAACGCCACTTATTTCACAAAGCTGAAGTCACGTGAAAGCCAAATGAGCCAATCAGAGGCGCCATCGCAAGACATATGGTTTTTAAAGACTCGAATTTGGTAGTTACAGCKTTTTTAATYTWTATATCAAACAAGGTASAGSTTTGAGTCTTATTTCACTAARCCTTYATCGTCATTAATTTGAAGTCCAGGTGGAGAAATGCGCRTCTATWGTCACTTCATTKAGAAATTCATCAACACKGTCTATCACAAAACAAGAAAAAATCAAATTACACAACGCCATTTTATAATAACTCCATCTTTTCAAAACAAACACTTCCCATCTAAAAGTTAATCCTAGAAAAGACMTTTTTAACAATGTCAGTGTTCATGTCCTCAATAGCTAAACAAAACGTCCAAACATTATTTTAAAATGCTTCTGASGCGTTTTAATTTAGGTAGTACTCAATTTTCTAAGCTGAAAAATATTTTCACACACTTTTTTCAAGAACAGTCTAGAAATTTTAACTTTTGATTATTATTATTATTTTTTTGTAAACTCCATGTGTAATCTAAGCAATAAACACAAGTTCTATTTTTGCCACTAATTTCCGTTAGAAACCGGACATTTTTTGTAAAATATAATTTTCTGAATACAAATTGAAATTTAGCGCGTACTACGACATGTTTTTTCGCACAAACGATAATCAAATGTTTTAATTTCTATACTTCGAACGAAAATGAATTTTGAGAGATCCTTACAAATTATTTTGATTCAATTTTTACGTGGCATACTTATACCATTGTAATKTGACTGAAATTTTATGGTTGAACTAAAAGCTTTCTCAGCTGAATTAAGTATTTMAGTAAGAAATACAAATGCAAGGACGAAAAGATAAAAAGGAATGAGAAAATGATAGGGATTCAGAAGGCTAATAAAGTGGGAGAAGTAAGAAATGAGATTAATATGAAAATAATAACGAAATGATAAAATAAAAACAAGAAAATAATAAAATATACAGTAACCAAAGTATAGGAAATTAAGGTAAAGGCGAAAAGAAGAAAGCTACTCCAATAAAACGCACATAAAGCAATCTATATGAGACATTTTAACACTTTTCTTTTCTTTAATACAACTCTTATAACAAACTACATTTTTGCGGTTGTATCTTCCCTAGGGTACTAATTGACAATTGTCCAACACTATTTGAATGGTTGAGGAAAGTCAAAATGCTTAATTATTGACAAGTGGTTGGGACAAAAGAAAGTRGTTGTGAGCTAAACTATGATTTTCCATTGTGTAAACATCCCCACGCGCAGGCCGAAAATATATTAGTTCTCGTTTTGTAGGCGAAAATTGCCCTGCATGCTACCTTTTTTTACTCAAATTACTATTCAAATTCCTGTGGATAATCTCTGTTATCGTTTTTTAATAGTAATAAATATTTATGATAGCGCTTTAGCTGTGAAAATTGCTCATACATCTCCTGGGAATAAGCTTTACAAAACTACCAACGRACATTTTTCTGTTTTTCATTTTTCGTGTACAAATTGCCTCAGGAAGACAAACCAATATTAATTTACGAATAACAATTGGTTTTCAGCCGCTAATGCTAWGTTCTTGTAAAGCTTTTTCCGTAGCTCAAAGGTAATAAAGCAAAGGAAAACGAGCAGACAGTGTGGGTATGCAAATAGATACCAATTTTATCACGTTTTTCTTTTAATCCACTTTGAAAATCGTCATTTCATAATAAAAACAGCTCAAACATTCAAATKAGTGAGGTATCTGATGTTGTCATTCAAAATAGGCCCACTACAACACCGATATCTTACTCAAAGGAAAATACTGCCCTGGGCTAACAAGAAATCCTTTAGAAAATGCGCGCAATGATTAATTYTTCTGATTATTRGACGGATTTCTTCAGATTAGCTGMAAAAYATAGCAAATTAATTGAAACATTGAATTCTTTTGGTAAATATGAACAAAGGGCTACATTTTCTCGAAAAGGAGATCGTTGAAGTTMSCGTCGATTATGCCAGAAATTTCGAGCAGGRCTTTTTTTGGACAGTTTCTTCTGTTCCACCATATTTAGTAGAGGGAGAYCACTAATTATGGTTTCAYATTTCAAAAATCATATATGAAAGTCAGTCWATAGAAACGGTCTTTTCCAATCAGACCACAATAAATCTATTCATGGTTTTCATCATCACAGAACTTCAAGATTTTTGTTCTTAAAGAGTAGTTTCTGCTCCCTGCACCGAGAAATTAGCGCCCAAGAGGCCATCAATTACATCACTTAATCYTCGTCTACATTGAGCGCTTTCGTAACATTTCCGTATTCTTTTCGTGTCGTTATCGTATTCTTTTCGTATAATTTTCGTTGTTGAAGACCGCTTACCATATAAGGCAACTGTCGCACGCGACTTATCGTATACGACACAACTGAGCTCAAAAATAGTACGAATCGGGTCCTCCGACAACTCGACAAGTAGYGAATCCTTTATGCGACTGTCGTGGAATCATTCAGCTTTTGTTGACACAACTAAGCTCAGTAACATCTCGCGACAAATCGTGAGTCGCTAGAGTTGGTCYTGGAATCATCCATAARATTCGGTTTAAGCTTAWTCGTGTCGAATACGTAGGTCGTGGGCGACKTTATAAATGCTACACAAGTCGATYCTAAAAATATTCGSTTTCTCTATATCATTCACATTTATGACGCAAGTTGTTATCRCGTTAAGACTTCAGCCTTAGGTGGTGGCAAATAACCCAATATATGGCTGATYTCATTAACAGATACGCATAAATTTAGYAGTTGTATTACGCGGATGCTCGCTAAAGACGAGTCTACATGTCGCTYCYCTAAATTCTGATATTTTAATGCTCTTGAACCTCTTCATAATCGTCTTTCTGGATAGATTTTACATAGCTAGACGCTCTTAGAGAGTTTGATCGGTCTAACTCGGAGAAAATTTATAGTCAGTCCAATGGCGGAAGGGTGATTTTACCTAGCCTGTGTAGAAGAGAAACGGATGTACACGGGCTAATTTTACCCTCCTGATTCTACTCATAGCGTTAGATCCGATAGTTCTTCCGGTGAATTTCTTTCAATTTTTCCCAAAATATCAAGCATAARATTGTTTGAGGTCCAGTCCTTAAATACTGAGGCCCAAATCCCTTATAAAACCCTAGAATTCCCTCCTTATRAAACACTTTACGAAAGCAATCAAATATCCCATTGTACAGCAAGCCTCTTCCTGATTGGTCAGTCTTTTGATTGAAGAGTCTTGTACTAACGAAATCGAACGGTGTTATGGCAACGACTACCGCAAAACTGCTGACAAGGCTCGCGGTCGCAGTYGCTAGGAATTTATTGTTCTGGAATATCGCGATGTCTTGAATGTAATATTTAGCAGCGTCGAATGTAGATAGYTGAGCTGCTGTGCCAATGGTGTTTCTTTGYACGGCAGCGCTGCACCCTCTCCATAGACCAGCTATCCCGCSTTCGTTGTAAATCCCTCGAAGGGCGTGCGTAAAGCCAGAATGGTTGTGCTGAAAGCCCRCGGCAATAGAGTTGGCTGCTTGGGCCTGGAACTGAGTTTTTAGCTGGAAAAAGATAAAAGAAAAWTGAATACATGAAGTAATGAAACAAGTTTATATGAATTCCACAATTCCCCTTAAAAATTCTGGATCCGTCCCTGAAATAAAGATATATTTTGAAAATAAATTTAAAAATACATGAACAGTTATAACGATATAATAGTCAGAATAGTTATAAAAAATGTATACAGCATGTATAGCACACATATGCACGTGACATTACATAATTACATAAGATTACGTAACGCACTCATGTAAGGAAAACGTTTTTTCAACGAGAAAAAACTACTGAGGAATAATAATTCAAATCGTCAAAAGTCGTTTTATATTATTTCAAAAGCGAAATCAGAGGAAATAAGTGAACGTGACAGAGTTCAGAAACATAAATAACACTTTATAAAACAGTCAGCTGACCAACTATCAAACTATGGGTCAACATGGGTCACGACGTTTATCTCTATTTCTGTTCTAGATTTTTCCCCAAGCATATAACTTAACTAACAAAAATACTTACCAACATCGTAGGTGAAGATAAAAAGGCAGACAATCCTCCAGAAAATCCACCAGCGAATACACACTTCAATAAAACAGGTCGGCCATCTTTCCCAGACGTCAGTCCCAAGTTAGTCATAATTTGATACGAGCTAAGTCTGGATCCATTCATAATAACTTGATACAATAAAGCAGGAAAAAGTCCCTTCTGTAAAGCAAGTACTCCTTCGTGTCTTACTATCGTGTACGATGCGTGGAAAGCATTTCTGTAGTGTATAGCGTACGAGCCACGACTCTGTAGCTCTCCTTGCAGTTGCATTCGAGTTTTCACTAGTTCTAACGGATTTGTAAAAACACAAGCACAACAGCCCGCTAATGCAGCTGGAATGAACTCGCTTATTTGGCTAGACATTTAGAAAGATTCAATTACYGGCATCCTAAAAATGTAGTCCTGGTGGTTTTCTGCCGGTCTTTGCGCACGAGTGACAACAACAGAAAGTTGCGTGACATTTAGCTAGCGTTACAGTTTGTCACGACAAGTCGACCAGTACGCAAACACGTGACGATTTTTAGCACATACAAAACAAACACTTCAATTCCCAATAAAAAATTTATATACTATAATAGTACTATAATATCATTTACAAATAAAAGTATTTTGCATTTTATTAAAAGTTTTTATCATATAATTATCTATGAAATACCTATATTTCTCCATTACGTAAAATTGATATTTTCACTAGAAAATAACACATTCGAGGTTTCTCTATATAGTGGAAGAAAGAAAAAAGGTATTTTACAACATAATTTGCTTACATATTAAATTATATGATAAACAGAATATTACATGGTCGCTTGGAGATACGAATTGTATCTTCTCGTGTTGAAAATCTTTTCAACACGAGAAGATAAAATCCGTATCTCCGCGCACCCATGTAATATCCTATATTTATCCAGTGTGATCAAGAAAGGCTGGCAAAGGCACTCATTGAATAATTTGTAACAAAAATATCAGTGAGCATAACTCCAAAGTGAATGACTCCTATAACCTAGTTTTTTTAAAGGGACATGGTCCACCAGCATCCCTTTCAAGCTTTTGTTTACGTTTGAAAATAGAAATACATCGTAATATAAGCAAAAACTTACTCCTTATTATTCCTTTATCCTATATGAATGGAGATGTTAAACTGGTGGATGGAAACGGATTGCAAATGGATATTCGAAGTCACCTCATTTTCCATATATGAAAAATCTAAAACACGACCGCATTGCATRMTAGTGGACCATGTCCTTTAAAGCCAACTTGATCAAAATGYATYTCAGGCCCCATTCACACAATGACAGAAAGTTTTGTATCTKMAAATTGCTTTACAAATGYGWTCCTCTTCCTCTCATGTYCATCCAACTGAACCTCTTTCCCAGACCCCCCAAATGAAKAGATAAGGTCCTGGGAAAGAGKCTGTCCTGGAACCCCCTTATTGTCCTTACCTCTTATTTTTCATCAGATTTCCCAAAGTAATATGCATAAGCCATTCGCAATTCATCCCAAAACAGCAGACTTAGAATAGTATGTGGTCCTATTCTGAAATAATGTGGRCCAACACCTTTATAAAACCCCAATACTCCTTCCTTCTTGAATACCTTCCAAAAACAGTCCAAAAATCCTCGATAAACAAGTCCTTTGCCTGTACGRTCAGTCCCTTGGTTGTATAATCTTGTTGCTACTACATCGAAGGGTGTCATACACATCACCACGGCAACACTGCTAATCATGCTCCCACAAGCAGGAACAAGCCAACTCTTTTCAGCAAAAATGTGGGTATTTTCTATGTAGCCTTTTGCTTTGGAAAATGTGGATAACTGCGCTGCTGAGCCAACCATGACTCTTGCCATTGCACTGCTAACGCCACGCCATAGTCCTGTGATACCGAAAGTGGAGTAAGTGCTCTTTAAAGGGGCAATAAAACCTTTATGAGAATGTTGATGTCCGACGGCAATTTGCTGTGCTGATTGTGACTGGAGCTGGGTCTTCATCTGRTAAAACAGTAATGCATCATTTTGAGAAACTGTTTCTGAGGTGTATAACTGCTTTCAAAAATATTGAAAGTGCATTCACATGAAATGAGATATTTTTGGGAAAATTCAACCCTGAAAGTACCTTATTTTCATGCATGAGCCTGCAATATTTCAAAAAYACTGGCACATCTCAGAAATTGTCTATTCAAACAAGCTCTTTAACAATGTTAAGGAGATGCAGCGTAAGGGCTGAGATTAGGAAAAGAGTATTTGAAGATGGCAGTTATAAAACAATGCAAGGTGTTCTGTGTGATTTTCAGCCACATTCCCAAGAGACTGAGAATTCCCCCAGGAGAAATTCATGCCAGTTTAATGGGATATCCCTGCGTATTTATGGTTAACAGAAGGGCTGTATAATTCAAATTACTCAAACATAGTATAACTGCTTACCATATAAACGGGGCTTCCCAAAAATGCTCCCAGTGCGCCTGAGATTGCTCCAGCAACCAAGCACTTCAGAAACACAGGTTGACCATCTTGACCTAAAGTCAGTCCAGTATTGGTGAAAACTTGGTAAGAACCGAGTCTCGCGCCATTCATTATTACTTGGTAGCAAATCCCTGGGGCTAGTCCTTTCTGTAAGGCTAATATTCCTTCGTGACGAGCAATAGTGTAAGATGCGTGGAATACATTCCTGTAATACACAGCATACGACCCTCGAGCTTTGAGTTCTCCTTGTAACTGCATTCGTGTTTTCACAACTTCTAAAGGGTTTGTGAAAAGGCATGCTCCTGATCCTGCTAATCCTCCTAGGACAAACTCTTTTAGGTTTGACGACATGTTGTTTTCCCGGGATATCAGAGATGTTCTTGAGCATTCCAATCATAAACGAAACGAAGCTCATTACACAGGAAGACCAAAATCAAAGCTTGAATTTTGAAAAATACTACCAGGGAAGTAATGCAGCATTGGCACCACTTAACATATATTATCTTTACCATAAAAGTGAAAAACTGAATTAAAACTACGTTGTTCTCTATTTGAGTTATAAGAGGAAACTTTCAGTGTATTTGTGGGTTTCCTGTGTACCAATAACAACAAGAGGACTGGTTCATAGTCCGCCATCTTTTCACGTGCGCAACCTCGTCCCCAGGGCCATCTCGGCCGACTCCTTTTCAAGATGGCGGTCGTCGGGGAGATGACCCTTACGGAAGCCCAGAAGGGCCACCGGCAAGTTAAAAAACGTGGCGTTACCGTACATTTGAGACGTGATGGCAAACTTAATCCGTTGGTGACAAACTAAATGACAGCATGGCAAACTTAATCTTAAGCTGGCAAACCATTTTTTTACGCTGGCAAACATACAACGTTGACGGCAAACTTGATTTTTTGATGGCAAATGTAATTCGGCGGATCGGCAACTTTTATTTTATGATGACAAATATTGTTCTTTTGTACCGCAAACTAATTCGTCAACGGCAAACTAATTCTATAGACGTCAAGTTTAACTTTGTGACGGCAAATATAAATTCTTTAGAAGTCAAACATAAATTTGTTCCGGCCAAACTAATTCTGTGGACGGCAAATTAATTCGGTAGACGGCAAACTAATTTTGGAGACGGCAAACTAATTTTGGAGACGGCAACTAATTCTGTGGATCGGACGGCAAACTAATTCTGTGGACGGCAAACTAATTCTGTCGACGGCAAACTAATTCTGTAGACCGGGCAAACTATTTCTGTAGACGGCAAACTAATTCTGTAGAGGGCAAACTAATATTGGAGATGGCAAACTAATTCTGTTGACGGCAAACTAATTATGGAGACGGCAAACCAATTCTGTAGACGGC